TGAGGAGTTGTGTGGGGATGGAGAGACCATCAGCATTTTGGGGAATCCAGCTAAGGAGAAGTTGAGTTGGAGATTTATTTGTTTTGGGTCGAGTGGAATCTATATATATGGTTCACACGTCCATGTAGAGTCAAGACATTGTTGGTTATTCTAGGGTATTCTAGGCTTCCAGGAACCCTCTTGCTCAGTGCATGCTCAGTGGCATCATGGGTCTTTTATGATTTAAATATTTCCTATGATGCCTGACACTAGAAGCATATGGGAGTGAAGAAGCAAGAGTTGAAATGTGCAGAATGAGAAGCTAGTCTGTGGAATGTTCTTTCAATCATCAGCTGTACACAATTATGAGTGAAATGTCTGGTTCTCATAGATATCTAGTCAAGACAGAAATTATCTTCAGGAAAATACTCAGAAATGTGGTATATACAATTATAAAGTGCCATACTATCATACTTTTAAAGTAGGAATCAATGCAAAATAGAATTTATTAGAATTCTCGTGTTTGTAGAGCACAAAGCTGTAGCAATACTATAAACTGTGAAGTATCATTTTTATGTATGCCAAACTGCATTTTATGTCTACCAGCATATTGAATCAGTCTTAGCGTATCTGATATAACTTGTCCTGATGAAACCTGGCAACACCAGACAAAAAGACATTCAAATGCACTAAAATCACAGCAAAGCACCCTAAGTGTTCCTGTCACAAAGCTCCCAAGCTTATTCATCCATAAGTTATTGTACACAGCATAGGGGGAATTCAATTAAACAATTATGTAGCTCTATCCAATATAATGGCATTTTAAAATGCATTTGAATTGCTTTGTCTTCTTTCCTTGAAAATGATATTACACAGTTGTTATGTGAAGAGATGATCATGTGAAAAGTATGCAGCCAAAGAATAGGAAAAAACATTGTAGAGGTTATGTTACTTTTCAGGATTTTGTTATATTTGTGGTATTTATCACTTTTCAAAAATGTGTGGCAGGGCACGGTGGCTCACGCCTGTAATCTCAGCTCTTATGGAGGCGGAGGTGGGTGTATCGCTTCAGCTCAGGAGTTTGAGACCAGCCTGGGCAACATGGCAAAACCCTGCCTCTACAAAAAATACAAAAATCAGCCAGTTGCAGTAGTGGGCGTCTGTCGTCCCAGCTACTTGGGAGGCTAAGGTGGGAAGATCACTTGAGCCTGGGAAGTGGAGGCTGCAGTGAGCCATGATAGTGCCACTGTGCTCCAGCCTGGGTGACAGAGTGAGATCCTTTCTCAAAAAAAAAAAAAAAGGAGCAAAAATGTGTAATTTGATATGATTTCATATATCAATATAAATAAACTTTCACCCTTTTTTTGAGATAGGGTCTCCCCTTGTAGCCCAGGCTGGAAAGCAGTGTTGCGATCATAGCCCACTGTAGCCTCCAATACCTGGGCTCAAGTGATCCTCCCATCTCAGCCTCCCAGCTAGCTAGACTATCCCACACCCAGCTAATTTTTCTAACTTTTTTGTAGAGATGGGGTATCACTATGTTGCACAGGCTGGTCTTGAACTCCTGAGCTCAAGCAAGCCTCCTGAATCGGCCTCCCAAAGTGCTGGGATTACAGGTGTGAACCACTGCACCTGGCCATAAATATTTGCTTTGATATGTAATTTTGTACTTCTATTTTGAATTCTTATCCTTAGAGTCTCCTTCCTCCATAAACAAGCTTCAAAACCCACCATTCCTGAATTAGCCTTTGACAACAGTTGTGTAGTATTTTATGCTCTGATATGATTCTTATGAAAAATATTGAATTTTAAAGCATGATAGTTTATGCCTGGGGACAGAATTTTCAACAATACAGAGCTTTGTGTGGAAAGTAAATAGTGTAGTCTCCAAGCACGACTGACTCCCCAGGGGTCACCACTGTTGGTCTGATGTTATTCTATTCTCCTTTTTCTTGAGCCAGTTCATTGTGATTAAGTGTGACTTTGGAGTGAGCTACCTGAGTTGACTTCTGCCTCTGCCCCGTGGCCTTGGGAAAACTACTAAATCTGTTAGTGCCTCCTCTTAAAGGAAGGATGTAATTGTCCTGATGAAAACCTTGTCCTGTCTTGTGGGGGTGCTAGGAGGACAGTTTAGGGCTTAGAAGAGCATCCAACTTGCTGTACTCATTTTATGTCAGTTTCATTTGGAAAATGCATACATTAGCATTTCTTTGCGGATACTTCATGTGCCTAAGTATACTGGTCCTCCTCTCTCAAGACTGTAAACTCGAGGTTTGGAACTAATGGAAAACATCTTGAACATCGCCACCTAATTCCTCAGAAATGTGTGGATGTGAGCGCCATCTAGCTGCATTATCGGTGGTTCTACTATGACCACCAGGCACCATTCAGCTAACGTGGCTGTTCTGGCTCAGCAGTTGTTGGATTTGTCAGGAACTGGAGGATGATAGTGGTGTGACCAGCATATCACGAGGCACTCAGGAGAAGTTAGTGATCCAGTGAAATGAAGAGCATCTCTGAAATGAGATGAGATGGAAGGCCACATCCACGGAACATAGAATAGTTTGAGATTTATACAAAACTGGAAGCAGCACAAAGCAAAAGCTGTCTCCGTGTCCCACTGTAAAGGCACTCAGGGCCAGGCGTGGTGTCTCATGCCTGTAATCCCAGTACTGTGGGAGGCCAAAGCAGGAGGATCACTTGAGGCCAGGAGTTTGAGACCGACCTGACCAATACAGTGAGACCCTGTCTCTACAAAAAATAGAAAAATTAGCCAGGCACTGTTGGTGTGTGCCTGTAGTCCCAGCTACTTAGGAGGCTGAGGGAAGAGTATCACTTGAGCCCAGGAGTCTGAGGCTTCAGTGAGCTCTGTGTACCACTGCATTCCAGCCTGGGTGACAGAGCAAGACCCTGTCTCAAAAAAAAAAAAAAAAAAAAAAAAAAGAAAAGAAAAGAAAAGAAAGAAAAAGAAGAAGAAGAAGAAAAAAAGAGAGAAGAAAAAAAATCACTCAGAAGTGTCACTAAAATGTGGTTTTCAAGAAAGGCATGGTAAAAATGAGAAAAGGGAGTGAGTGGGTAGACATGAAACCTTTCCAAGATAACACAGCTCAACAGTTATGTACAGAAGCAGCTAAAACAGAATAAGTGTAGATGATCAAAGATCAAAGGATGAAGAGATTTTAGAAAGAAGGTTGTTTGGTATATACCTTATCATCTTAAAAGACTTTCTCTAGGAAACAAATACTGCTAGATTTCAATCATAGACTGTGTAATGGAGTGTACAATAGTTACTCAGTCCTCCCACAAATTCACAATCTGATATTCAGTGAAAAAAGACGATTCCAGATGAATATGAACCCAATTTTGTTTAAAAAACATACGTAAGTACACAAGACTAGAAAAAAGACTGGAAAGAAAAATAGTAAAATATAAACTGTGGCTATTCAGAGGAATGCAATTATGGGGGAAATTTTTGTCACTTGTGCTGTTATGTAGTCCTCCCTTGATTGATTGATTGATTGATTGATTGAGACAGGATCTTGTTCTGTCACCCAGGCTGGAGTGCAGTGGTGCCATCATAGTTCATGACTGATTGATTGATTGAGACAGGATCTTGCTCTGTCACCCAGGCTGGAGTGCAGTGGTGCCATCATAGTTCATGACTGATTGATTGATTGAGACAGGATCTTGCTCTGTCACCCAGGCTGGAGTGCAGTGGTGCAATCATTGTTCACTACAAGTTTGAACTCCTGGGAGCAAGCAATCCTCCTGCCTCAGCTTACTAAGCAACTGGGACTATAGGCCTGTGACACCACACCTGGCTAATTTTAAAACTTTTTATAGAGACCAGATCTCGCTTTGTTGCCCAGGGTGGTCTCAATCTCCTGGGCTCAAGTGATCCAACCTCTTGCCTCAGCCTCCCAAAGTGTTGGGATTACAGGTGTGAGCCACCATCCCTGACCAAACCCCTGTTATAATAAATATGCATTACTTCTGTAATTAGAAAAAAAAAATGCCTATTTAAAAAGAATTAGATATTCACTTTTAATCAAATGTAGTTCTTATTTCTATAATACTTTTTTTTTTCATTATTTGGCCTACTGTTAAATTATAATTACAGAGTTTAAAAATAGCTTGCCTGATAAAGGTATTCATGTGTCCACCAAAACTCAGCATGATGGTCCACACACGCTAGAATCAATTTCCAGTTGCCCGCCTGGCCCTTCAGCCTTGTTAGTAATGGCAAAGTAGCCCAGAGGACAGCAAGAAATAGCATGACATTCTTCCTTCTTGCCACCAACAACATCCCATGTGTCTGCTGGAGAGCAGGACAGCTTTCCACTGGCTGGCTGATGCCACAGTATTTTAGCCACTGAACTTCAGTGAAGGTGTGGTGAGCAGTGGCCTCATCCACCCTGATCTCATACTCCCCCATTGTCCAGCTGAACTACCTGTCCTCTGAGAGTCCAGATCCTCTGCCTGCTCTCTTTCCTGTTTCAAAATGACAGTTACCATCTGTTTCTTCTGTGTGTGACATGGGGGTCTAACTAAAATCTCTCCTTCCTAATAAATGTCACCACTCTGAAAAAAAATTTTTTAAACTTCTGTTCACGAGAGGATACCATAAAGAAGATTGAAAGATATTGAAGTTGGAGAAAAATATTTGCACTATACACAACAAAGCCTCCCAAAGTGCTGGGATTACAGGGTGAGCCACCATGCCCCGCTGGTAATTTAAACTCTTAACAGTAGATATTGCAGAGGATGAGAGACAATACCAGGCAGTAATATTTTCTGTTTTATACACTTCTGTGTTATTCAAATTTTTCACAAGTGTGTGCTAGTGTAACCAGGGGAGGAAGAAAACACTTTTACATTGATACATTGAGAAAGAACTCCAGCATTAGGCCCTGCAAAGCATTCCTATCAGCCTCCTTTCCCATCAAAATGTCCATCTAATTACAGCAAATGTCTTTAAGTGCCTTACTGAAGTTGATTTTCCTTTTCCTGGTCTGTTTCAGCTTGGACTGACTTGGATTAGAATCTGGCTTCATCAGTTTCAGTGGCTGGGAGAACCTGAAGATGATGGACTTCTCCCAGCTGTCACTCTCGAGGAGAAACACGATCCTGATTCCTACCTCACAACTGCCAAACACAAGTGTCTGCCACATTCTCTTTCTCTTCATCTCCCTCCTCTCTGGGGTAAATCAAAGATCCAAGTCCCAGCTCCCATCCTCAAAGCCCTCATAGTCCAGTGTAATGGGCTGACCTGAGCAAGGATGGCGTTTGATGACTTTCATGGGATTTTCAAATGGAGATGGCTTCGAGCCGGGGGTCCTGGTGGTGCTGGGAAATTGCTGAAGAGTACTCAGTGGAGGCGCATGGGGTGGTGAGTTCTGAGAGGGGTGGTGTGTCTAGATAGGTGGGACCATGGTAAGGCCAAGGCAAGCAGGGACGTGGTTGTGACCCGTTTTGCCACCCCTCACCTATGCCGCGGGCCTCAGGGGTTCCCTGCTTGGCCTGGACCTTGGTCTCATCTCAGGGGATGGGGAATCAGCAAAGGCTGTCCTGGCTGTCCTCACCACCCGCGAAGGCATGTAATTGTCATGTTTTCCTTTCCCATTGATTCCTTTTTGTCGTGACTTTCTGTACCTAACTCAGGTACCTTAGTTTGTGTTTTTCAAGCTGATTGTTGGTTAATTTATTCAGTCGGTGTTTCTTAGAAAAGGCCTGTTGGAGACTCATGAAAACCAGCACTCCTCTAAAATAACAAATGAACTTCTAGTCAATGCCTAACGACCTCCAGTGCGTGTTCCTAACACCGGGTCTTGGACAAACCAGGTAACTGCTCTGCGTCTCGTTTCCTCCTGTCTGATGATAGTGACGGTGACAGTGTTGTCTCAACCAAGCTCCCTACAGACAGAGCCTGAGATGGGAATTGAGTGAGGTGCCCTCAGGGGTCGGAAAGTGAGGCAGCAGGACAGGGAAGGGCGAAGGGATGCTGGGTTGGAGACTAGCTTCAGCCTGCTGCAACGAGGACCTTGGGAACACAACTCGCCCTAAGAAGTTGGTGCTACTTTAAGGCAGCCTTTTGTACTCCAGGTCATCAAGTCCATACAGGGGGCCAGTCTTTTGTACCCCAGGTCATCAATTTGATGCAGGGGGGGCAGCCTTTTGTACCATAGGTTAGGGATTGACCATGAGCTGCATAGAGTAACCCTTTAGGTGAGGCTGCTTCCTTTGACTGAGAGTAATTCTCCAAAAAAAGGGTGCAGGTAGAGCCATCAGCAGCCAACCCTCACAGCAGTGGGGATGGGGACAGAGGTGGGGTGAGTCAGATGAATCTCTGGACATGTGCACACTGGGTAATAGACGCTGACATTTACTGAGTGCTTACTATTTGACAGGTACTTGTCTAAGTAGTTTACTTACACTAACAGTTTATGCTCATGCCACCCTATATAGTAGATATATCCTTCTACTATTAGCTGCATCTTACAGATGAAGAAATGGAGGCACACAGAGGTTAAGTAACTTGCCCAAGGCCACACAGCAAGTGAAGGGGGGAACCAGGTTGGGAAAAATGATCTCTAAGTAACTTTTGTTAGGAATTTCAGACTGGTATCATTTATTTAGTCAGTTCTCAAATCATTCCACATTTATTGAGAGCCTCTCATGTCCTAGAAATGACACAGATAAATCAAGCATGTCTCCAGCCTTCCAGGAGCTCAAACTCTACTGGGAGAAGCACTGTGTGCACTGCTTAATACTGGACTGTGTCCTGAGCACTCGGAGAGGGAAGTGCAAAAGTGTGCTACTTCTGCCCTGGGGCATTCGGAGAGATGGCTGGGAGAAGATAAGGCTGCAGTTTGGTCTGGAAGGATATGCAGATATTAAGGGTTAAAGGATGAGAAGGACATTTTTGTCAGAGGGAATGGGGCATGGTGGGACAAGGACACTGAAAGATGGAGGTGTGGGGCAGGGTGGAGGGAATGAGACTGCTTAGAGACAGTCTGGGATGGCTGCAGGCTGTGAGAGGCCTGTGGGGTTCGGCCAGTGTAGGGAGACCCAGGTTCTCAGTCAGTCCAAGTTCAGTCTCCACCTGCAACAGACTGGCTCAGTGGAGGTGGCAAAGGATGATGGCTGTCTCAGTCCCCAAGCCCCCTCTCAAGTGGAAAAGCACCAGCAGAGCTGCTGCCTGCCTGCCCTCCATTCAGCCTGACTCTGACTCCCTCTGAGCCACAGGCAGACTCTGACTCCATCCTGAGCAAGGCCCCCAGGCAGGGAGGGGTTATATTCTGGAGCATCACAGAGGGACCTCTGCAATTGACTGAATAAGAAAACAGAATTTTAGAATAAAAAAAGGAGAGGTTTTTTTTTTTGACACAAAAACAAGGAGTACAATTCATTGCTCTTATCTTTCTACCCTATCCTGTTAAAATCCAAGTGTGATCCTCTGCAAGTCTAGTGCACACTCCTACCTTTATCAAAACCCACCTTTATGATATCAGTTATCCTGCTGCTAGATAACTGCCGCTGGAGGTGGGAGTGGTCGCCAAACCAGATGAAGTTCCCAGTTCTCTCCCAGGTGACTGTCTGGGTATAGTCGTGATTCAACTGTTAATGATGTAACCAGAGCCCAGGGGAAACATTGCCAAGAACTAGGACACCTTTTGCAAAAGTTTTTTTTTAAAAAAAAAAAGAGGGTGAGAGTTAAAAGACTACAAATTAGGTACAGTGTGCACTGCTCAGGTGATGGGTGCACCAAAATCTCAGAAATCACCACAAAAAAACTTATCTATGTAACCAAACACTGCCTGTTCCCCAAAAACTATGGAAATAAAAATTTAAAAAAAGATTTCTTGTAATAGTTTGTCTCCTTAGGATAAATATGTTAGAAGTATAGTAATTTAAAAAAAAGGAAAGAAAAGAAATGATAACCAAAAGAAAAAAAAAGGAAAGTTCAAAACAATCAAATTTTCCTAAAATGGCCTAGCATCAGGAGGGATATTCCTCTAACTCACCATTGCATTTCCAGTGCCTTGCAGAATGCCTGGCAAATAGTAGGTGTCTAATAAATATTTGTTTTTTGCTTATTTTGAAAACATGAACTTTTGTTTTTTCCTCTGTCTCTTTCTTTCTGAAGGTTATATGCAGACTTTGGATGAATCCCAGCATCTCAAGATCACTTAAGATTTCAGGTCTAACCTAACCCTAAGTCACACTGGTTCCTATTTCTCAAGTGCCTCTGATGTGCCAGGCATTGTACTAAACATTTTAATAATAATAAAATTATAGCTAACACTCACATAGCTAACTTTTATGTGAAGTACCACTGTAAGTGCTTTGCATATAATGGCGTATTTAATTCTCCACATGAACTCTAGGAAGTAGGTATTGCCGTCTGTCTTTTACCAAAGAGAAATATGAGGCTCTGCAGGTTGTGTGACTTGCCCAGAGTGACTTAACCCAGGACTTTAATCCATCATGCCACAGCTGCAGAGCTGAAGAAAAATGTTCAGGCCTGTCCTGAACCCATCTCAGTCCCTGGAGGCAGAGTCCCAAGGGTTCCTGGAGCATAGCTTTGTACCTGACTTCCTTGCCACCTTCCTGACTGACATGGATGTAGGAGTACTTGGCTATCCTGGTGCCATTGGAATGAATAGTCTGGGCCAGGAAGGCAGAATTGCACCTTTAATCATTTCCTAGGATGTCCTGTCTAAAAGCTTCCAGCCTGTTTGTGTTTCCTCGTGGGGGGGTGGCAGCTGAAAAACTTCTCTGGATTTCTGGGAGCAGCTAAGCCTAATGGAAGAGGGGTAGGAGCAAAAGCTGTGTCTCTGAAGCTCTTGGCTTGCCTTAGTGCTGTGCCCTTTGTGGTCCTATAGTGGATTCTCTGTAGATTTGAACAACCTTTGGGAGAAGCAAAGGCTTTCTGAGAGGTCAGTGAGCAGCCTGTGCTCAACTGGACTTAATTTCTGGGAGTTTGTTTAAATTATCTCTCTTTTCCTCTCTATACATTCTGATATGTACAGAGTGTAAGGATCCAAGCGGGTACCAATATTCCCCTAGCACGGGTAGACACGGAGTTCACGAGAAATGTTTATGGATTGACCCCAGTCTTGTGTTTCCATTGACTGGCTTTCTTTTTACTTTAGGCCATTAAAAATTAGTTTTAACTTTAAACATTTTTTTTTTTTTTGAGACAGGGTCTCACTCTGTCACCAGTCTGGGGTGCAGTGGAATGATCTCAGCTCACTGCAACCTCCACCTCCTGGGTTCAAGCGATTCTCCTGCCTCAGCCTCCCGAGTAGCTGGGACTACAGGCATGCACCACCATGCCCAGCTAATTTTTGTACTTTTAGTAGAGATAGGGTTTCACCATGTTGGCCAGGCTGGTCACGAACTCCTGACCTGAAGTAATCTGCCCATCTTGGCCTCCCAAAGTGCTGGGATTACAGGTGTGAGCCACCACGCCCAGCCTATTTTAGTGTTTTAGCAAAATCTTTTGAACACTATCAAATAAACTACCTATTGGTACTTAACTGTATTTGCATGAAACTTTACAAGGTTCCAGTGAAGCTGATATGGACGTTGGGCATTTGGAGGTCTCTCAATGAACATTTGTCGATTAAATGAATAAGTAGATATTGTAATGAGTTAGCTGAACCATCATGTTGGAGAAGGGGAACATGAGTCAAATATCATTGAATTAAACTATTTTTCTTTCTTTCTTTTTTTTTGGAGATGGATGCTCACTCTGTCACCCAGACTGGAGTGCAATGGCACGCAATTCTCCTGCCTCAGTCTCCCAAGTAGCTGGAATTATAGGCGTGCACCACCACGCCCAGCTAATTTTTGTATTTTTAGTAGAGACAGAGTTTCACCATGTTGGTCAGGCTGGTCTCAAACTCCTGACCTCAGGTGATCTGCCCACCTCAGCCTCCCAAAGTGCTGGGATTATAGGCGTGAGTCACTGCGCCTGGCTAAACTCTTTTTCTTTAATAGTGACAGTTAGAGATTAAATGTTAAAAAAAGGGATGAGTGAAAGGGACAAATTAGGCAAACTCTTCGATTTGGGGCCTGAGAAGCTTTGAGTCATGGTGACTTGTATTGAGAAAACAAAAACTTGAGTAAGAATGGATTTGGGGGACAGAAATCACGAGTTCTGTTTTCAGGGTTTCTCAGTCTAAGCTCTATTGACATTTTGGGCCAGATAATTCTTTGGGGGACTGTCCTGTGCACTGCAGGATGTGCAGCAGCTTCCCTGGTCTCTACCCATTAGATGCCTGTAGCACACTTCCCCCCTACCCCCAGGTGGCTCCAAACATATCTCCAGACATGGCTGAATGTCCTTGGTGGCGCCAAACTCTCCAGGTTGACAACCAGGTGAAGACCCTGTGAGATCGCCAATGGGGAGAGAGAGCGTAGGAGTGGGGGTGGGGAAAGGGAGTGTCCAGTATGCAGGAGAGAGGCCTGAGGGAGACACAAATTGCAGCAGATGAACATCATAGTTGATACCAAGAGCTTTCTGGCAAATAGTAAAATTTTGAAATGCATTGCTTTTGGTCTCAGAAGTTATAGGGACAAGGACCAAGAGCTAGTTGGATACCCTGTGAACTGAAGGGAGCCAGATGGACCTGGCCAGGAGCCCTGGTTCAGATACTTAGCATCACTTAACAACTCTGGGCCCATTTCCTCATCTGTCAAATGTGGCTAATAGCATCTGCCTCCTGGAGCTGATAAGATTAGAGATATGCATAGAGATTAGAGATATGTATATAAGCTATTGAGACTGGTGCCTGCCATGAAGCAGGGCACTAGAAAATATTAGTAATTGCTGCTACTATTCCTAATATCATGCTTTACGTTGACACTTTCCTGCTGGGAGCTCAGGAAGTAACAGTAGGCCACCTAGAAAGCCTTTTTGGGTCTATCATCCTAACTGAAATCTATGCAAGCCTTCCTGTGGTAGTATTTGAACAAAAAATGCAATTGTCTAGAAAGCAATTGACATTTAAACTGTCACAGAAACAGTCAGAATAATACTGTAGATATTTTTATATTTCAGCCCAAATGTATTCAGAGTGGTATCCGATTCCTGGCAGGGAACACTCAATATGTATTTAACAGCTGAAAGAAAGGATCCACCTAGGCAGATATTTTACTTCTTCAGGGGGGAAAAGCAACCTTTCTGTATAAAAATGCTTCAGTTATTATTTTTTATATATTTAAAACAATGAAAATGTCATGGAGCAGCCCTTGGTTGGCTGTGTCCCAGACCAGCCACTGTTTCATGTGCATCGTGTCCATACAGCCTTCAGAACGACCAGTTGAGGCCAGGCGTGGTGGCTCATGCCTGTAATCCCAGCATTTTGGGAGGCCAAGGTGGGCGGATCACTTGAGGTCAGGAGTTAGAGACAAGCCTGGCCAACGTGGTGAAACCCCGTCTCTACTAAAAAATACAAAGCCGGGTGTGGTGACATGTACCTTTATTCCCATTTACTTGGGAGGCTGACGCAGGAGAATCGCTTGAACCCAGGAGTCAGAGGTTGCAGTGAGCCAAGATTGCAGCACTGCACTCCAGCCTGGGCAACATAGCAAGTCTCCGTCTCAAAAACAAAACAAAACAAAAAACCAGTTGAGTGCATAGTTGTTTTATTCTCTTTTCACCAAGGAGGAAAATGAGGCACAGAGAGGTTGGGTACTTGCCCAAAGTCACACAGCTAAGTGGCAGAGTAGGAATTTGAACCTAAACATTCTGCCCCTAAAGCCTGAACTTTTAACCACTGCACTGTATGTAGCTCACAGGAAGATTGAAGGGAAAACTTCTGGAGACACTAACAACATCCAGACAGGCACTTCCCCATTTATTATTCACTTGTCTGCATTCCCCATCTTATTTTCTTTCACACACATCTGTTGGTATTCCCTTTAATTTCAATTCTTTTTATCTTTTTTTTTCAAGAAATATTTTACCATTATATTTTAATACTATATATAAAACATCAGGCATAAGAGAGCCCTTCAAAAGAAAAAGCAGAGCATGCCTGAAGAAAATGCTTCTACAGTGGTCTTTATCTCATACAGCTGAATATAATTTTCCCCCAGATGTTACTCTAGTCACTTATTAAATTAATCTTTCTGTTTTAATACTTATAGAAACTGCACCAAGATCTGAGCTGTTCAAGGGGACCTGCAAACCAGGTAGCTGATACATTTGTCAACATTCCCTTTGACCTGTTTGATCTTCATTCACAACCACACTAATTGAGCTGATTGAGGGCAATGTCATTGGGTCTTTTGCTTATTCAAATTTTCCAGCCTTCTCTTTCTGGATGTGAATGAGGTTCAGAAGAATGGGTGGGAGAGGCCCAACTGACTCACCCAGAAATTCCGGGTTGGCCCTTTCCCGGGGCAAGCAGTGAGGACAGCACCGAGTGGCTTCAATGAGTGTTTATCCCAGCTGCCGCCCACCCCAGCCAGGAAGGAAGTCCTTACCATCTGGGCACAGTTGCTTTGGACTACTTGGAGTGTGGAAGGAGGCACTCTGCTTCCTTTAAAGCCCTTTAACAACGTTGTGGACAAAAGCTTCATGATTTTTCAAGAGGAAAAGTCCTTGACAGGTTCCCAGGACTCAAATCTTCTATTCCTCAGAGACCTATCACTGGCGGTGGGGGGCTCAGCCCCCTGGAGCCAGTTCTCCTCCCTATGCTAAGGTGGCCA